TTATGCGAAGAAAATAGGCGATTATGCGATTTTTATAATACCAAAAATGTACGACTTATACCCCTGTTAGAAAAAAATTTTTATTATTAAGTTGACTATTAATTTGTTAGGTATCTTCTATAACAAATAACTGAAACGTATAGTACGTACTCAGCATAAACACAGGGGAGTATAAATCAGAGGGTACCAATTACAAGGTATCTTGCCTAATGTTTTATAGTATTAAAGTATTATGCTTCATATATTATTCTTTTACCTTTGGAATAATTCAGATTTTGATCAGTTCGTTCATTTTCTACATCAGAACTTTCTGGAATTTCTCTCACTCAAATTATACAATATCTCAAAAAGCATATCAACCAATCATGTTTGAGCCACATGACCTGAATGCGTTTTTTTGCTTAATTATGCGAAGCATATGTGATGCGAAAAAATGGTTGATTATGCGCATAATGCCGCATCGCATAATCCTGGACACCCTAACCACGATGCAGGTGCACCATTTTTTAAAATCTATTATTAATATAGATATTTTAAAAATTTTTAAAAACTTCAATCAAAGATATTTCAACAAACACTTAACCAAAATCGATGAACTTTTTTTTATTCAAATTCTACAGATCTGTAGAATTCAAATAAAAAAAAATTTATCAATTTTGGTCAAATTGTTACTGAGATATTATCAATCAAAGTTTTGGTATAAATATCAGTATAGTTATTATTAAGTGATATAGGTATTTTAAAATTTTTTACAAAATTTGATCAAAAATATCTCAGCAACTACATGACCAAAATCAATAAACTTTTTTTATTTGAATTCTACAGATCAGTAGAATTTAAATAAAAAAAAGTTTATTGAATTTGGTCAAATAGTTGCTGAGATATCATTAATCAAAGTTTTAGTACAAATATCAGTATAGTTATTATTAAGTGATATAGGTGTTTTAAAATTTTTTACAAACTTTGATCAAAGATATCTCAGCAATTACCCAAAATCAATAAACTTTTTTTTATTTAAATTCTACAGATCTGTAGAATTCAAATAAACAAAAGTTCATCAATTTTGGTCAAGTGGTTGCTAAAATATTATCAATCAAAGTTTTGGTATAAATACAGTATTAGCACAGTTATTATTAAATATTATAAACGTTTTAAAATTTTTAAAAGTTTGTCATAGATAAACTAAAATTTTTTTTTTAAAAAATTATTTTTAAAATTGCATATTTTTGGTTTATAAGTAATCTAAAATTTTTTTCTTATAATCTAAAAATAAATACTATAAAAAAGTAATCTATATTTTTAAATATTATTATATCAAATTTTATTTGAATATTTTAAATTGTTAAAAAAATAGATCAGTAGTATATTTATAGTACCAATACAAGCAAATTTATCTGCATTAGCTTACAATCTAAGAGATAACTAATTTTTAATAAAAGAATAGTTTGTTATGCCTTATTGAATTCTAGAAATATCTAGCTTCTATTTTATTCTGATCCAAATTTTAAATTTAATTATCAGAATCAAATCTAAATTAGGTTTAACGTTTGGATAACTAAATCTTAAGTTAAAATATCCTGAGTAGTTAGATATATATAAGTGAAATTTGTAATAAAGTATAATTGGCTGCATAAGTAGTTAATTATACTTTATCAAAATTCTGCTCATATCAACTATATAGAATATAAATAACTTTTATATACGTACTTATTTTTAGAGTAAAACCTTTGTTTTATACAATATTTTTTTTTTATATTTAAGATTAAATCATCTAAATTAAATAGATACAAGTTTAATAAAAATAAAATATAAAAAAAGTTATATAAATAGAATACTTTTGACTAATATTTAGAAATTGAACTAAAATTAGGCTTAATATTTAAATACAATAATTTTCACTATATATTAATTTAACTTTTAATAAATACTATCTTAATTATTTATATAACTCTGATTAAAATGAATAATTACATAGCTCATATCAAACATAATCAATTCAATCTATTAAATATATTGTACTTGAAAAAAATAAAGAATTTGCTCTCATATATAATTTCTTGCTTGGGCAATTACAATTTATAAGTTTTTTTTTTTTTAATATTAAAGTGACCACTTGGAGGTTTGGCACGGTTTATTAACTTCTTAATTCAATTATCAGAATACTGAATAGGCACCTCTTGACTTTGTTATATCAATGAGACTATAATTGGTCATATATACAACATTAGTCATTGTCTAATTAAGGGCTCTGCTATACTATCTATAGTTATCTACCAATTGCTATATCTAGGATTCACTTGTAGATCCCTTATTTAAACCCTCTGATCAATTTAGCACTATTAGATACTTTTTTCAGAAGAATTCTTATCATTAAAGCCTTTAGAACTACTTTATCCTTGTGGTAAGTCTATCAGAACAATCTATATTCTACATATCAGGGTTGTTATTAGACTGAACTGGACTACTGAATTGGACTAGTCTAATTGTATCTAGTCTAGTTCTCTACTACTGTATTGAACTGGACTATTATTGGACTAACAAATAAGTCATATGATGTTATATTTAGCTAATCAAATTATGTATAAATATATTTAGTTATATATAAAACTTGTACTGCTAGATTATATAATAAATTATAATATTGTACATAAGTATAATATAAAAGTTTATTCTGTTTTACTATTATTAAAGATAAAAAAATATTTTGTTGCCTTATGTAATAAATTTGATTAGTAAAGATCTTTTATAGTAGATTAATAATAGTATTTATTACTCTTATTAATATTTATTATTTTATTATTCAAATTTACTATTGCTACATATATGATCTGCATTATTGCTTCAATTTGTGATGTAATTTTTATGTATATAGTATAGTCTATTTAATATTACATAAATATGATATAATTACACATATAGCAATTAAATACGTAAAAGGTTCAATCTGTAAGTTCGAACTTCTACTTTAATTCTCGTATAAGAATAGTGCTCCAATAAGTATTGTTTTATAATATCAATATTGAAAGTGTGTACGTAAATATTAGCCAAGAGCAAGGTGAAAAGTTGGTAAAAATATAAGACAAAGCAAAAAGGTATATAAACGTATACAATATAGATTTATAAACTACTACGTAGTAAATATGAAAAGAATTATTAATTTTATATTTATATTATCGTTATTATATAAATAAAATTTAAATTTGCTTAACTTTATTAGTAGATATATATGGGTAAAGCAAAAAAAGGTGGTCATTCTTTATCTGAATTTGTAAAAATCTATTCTGAAAAGCCTAATAGTTTTAATCATCTATGTCGATGTATTTACTATATTGCTACACTTGGAGAAGAACATTCTGACAATCAAAAATTTACAAATACTGCTAAATGTATAAAGTCATATTTAAAACAATGTGAATATTTTAAAAATGCTCATACTTTAGAAGAACAAGAAAATATTTTAAATTGAACAAATTCTAAAAATTCTGAAATTGTTATAGCAACTAATGCAGGAAGTTCATCTAAAAAATCTAACTCAATTTTAACAAGAAATACAATTGTTTCAAATAAAATTAAACCATTAGATCAATTTATTGCTCATAATATGAATGATCAAGAAAAAAAAATTTAATGAGCTTTGGTTATGTGCTACAATATCAACAGAAATAGCATTTCATGCAAGTGAAAATCCTGAATTACAAGCCGTATTTACCTTTTTAAATCCAAATATTAAACTTTCTACCTATTAAAATCTTGCAGGAATGATTTTGGATAATGCAGCATCATGTGTTTAAGACGAGTTAATTGAAAAAGCTACTGAAAAAGATATTATAGTTATATTATCAATGGATGGCTAGACTAATGTTAGAGCACAAAACTTATTAGGCATTGTTATGATTATATCAGCAGGTGAATCTTTAATTTAGGAAGCCCATTATATTAGTATAGATCATAGCTATACTAAAGAAGTTATAAGCCAAATAGAGAATATTTGTAATGAAATAAAGTCTAAAAATATTAAAATTACATATATTGTTACAGATAGTGCTGCAGCTTATGCTGCAGCAAGGTATGTAAATATTTAAATATATACATATTAATATTTAATATATATAAATATATTTATTGTTAATATTAAATTTTTTATATAGATCACGACTTCAAATTAAATATCGTAAAAAAATTTACTTGCCTTGTTTTACACACCAGATTAATCTTTGTGTAGGAGAAATTTTTAAAGAAAATAGCAATTATCTTTCAATTTCAATACAAGCCATAACAATTGCTAAATTTTTTAATTCTAAGACTAATATTTACAGGATTGGGATACTATATAATGAGCAAAAAAGCCTTTATGGATATTATATTTCTTTAATTAGACCCAGAGATACACATTGGAATAGCTATTTTTTTTGTTTTAAAAGTCTTCTAAAAAGTAAATATGCATTACAAATTTTAATTACTAAATTTAAAATTACTAGAGAACAAGAAATATGAGATAATTATAATCATAATAATAAATTTTTGCAGCATAATTTTTGCCAACAAATAAAAGATGACAATTGGTAAAATAATATTCAAACTTTATCAAATTTATTAGCATTTTATTGTAATTGTTTAGATAGACTTTAGTCTAATACTGCATAATTATATGAGGTTTTATATACTTTTGGATATTTGGCTAAATTCTGGAAAAATTATGAAAATTATGAATATGGTCAAAAAATATTAGCATGCTTAGAAAAAAGATAGAAGAATTAGAAACAACCTTTACTTTTACTTTCATTTCTCTTTAATCTGCAATATCGCAATTCAAAATTTTTTTTAACAACACCAGAGCTTTTATATATCGATCTTAGAAAATAGATTATCTATTACTATCAGGCGTGGTTTAAACAATTACCTGTAAAAATATTAATTGAACTTGAAAATTATCATAAGAAGCAATATCTATTTGATAATAAGTCTGTTAATCAATTTTTAAATACAGAAAATAATTTTCAATTTTGGTCACTTATAGCAACAAGTAGATCTGAATTAGGTACTGTGACAAAGTTATATTTGGTATTTATGTAAACTCAGTATCATGTAAATGATTATTTTTAACTATGGATTGGATTCATTCAGATTTAAGAAACCGTCTAGATCCAAACAAAGTTTTAAAAATTAGTCAAATTCATGGTTTTATTGCATATACTCATCAAGTAGCTAAAGCAAAAATGATTAAGGAAAAATACTTATCAAATATAGTAATTTCACCTAATAATGAAACTGAAAGTTTGTCTTATGAAGAATTGGAAATTCAAGAATCTCAAGAATTAAGCGATTTGCATGAAACTATAGATATCTGGATCGAATCATTAGAGTATGAAAATTTATCTGAACTAACTACTGAACATTATTTTGATATAGATACCAATCTTGAGTATAATGAATTTGTTGAAATACTATTCATCCTGTGTATGATTCAACTACTAAATAGAAATTGGCTGAATTGTTTATAGAAGATTTAGAAGCACTATTTTATTTTTATCAGTTTGAAAATATGACATAGCTGATTAATAAGCTTATATATGATATACATTTTATATTGCGTAAAATTGTACAAATTTCTGTTAAAGCATTGTAACATAAATATCAAACGAATAAAAAAAAAAATTAGAAATCAAGATGATTATTATGTTTAGGTTAGACTTGTTAATACTTTGTAGAGTATTGATAAATTTACTTACTATACTGATTGTTTAGCTTTAAATTGATTTTAGGCGTATATTTAAAATAATAATTATATAAAAATTTTAAAAACTTGCTAACAACAATATAGCTTTACATAGTATATCATGTAATATTAAATTTTCTTGAGCTAATATTTATACTATAAAAGCATAAAAGTTTTAAGTTAAAAAGACTCTTGTGCTATATTTTAATTATTTTGGTATGTTAATTTTACTAGACTATGATTTATTTATTATAATATGTTATTATTAAAATTTATTCACTATATATTATCTATATAATTAGCCTATTGAAGTTATAAGGTATGCTAATAAAATTCTAATTCGAAGCCTATACTAACTAAAGCATACTTCTTATATTTTTAAAATTTTGATTTTTAAATATTTATATAAAAGATAGTAATTTCAAATATAATAAACAAATATTATGTTAGTTTAATTGTATATAAGATTTATATATTTTGTTAAATAAGTTAAATTATATTGGACTGGACCAAATTGAACTCGATTGGACCAATAAATTTAGTCTAGTCCAAGTTCAATACTAAATTAAATACTGGACTAGTCCAATAACAACCCTGCTACACATATATTACCTAGGTTTTTTGGTAACTTACGCCCAATCTGAGAACTGATACTTGCGGTTTTTACGACTACTACCATTACTTACTCCTTGTCTTTACAAGGTTTGTTCTAATCCCGATACTCACTTTTAACTAGTTCTTATACTGATCTCTCTCCAACTATCAAACCAGTTAGCTCAAAAGGGTTGTTGTATCTAGATTTTAAGCACTTTCTGGTTTTATTTCTCTTGGTTCCAAATTCTGTAGCATCAGACCTTTTTTCTGATATGACTCTGGTAGCCAGGTTGGTAAACTCTTATTGCTCTAGGGTTGTTTGTCCAGTTCTTCAGTCTTTGGTTCTGATTTTCTGTAGTATTATCAAAGATCTTTACTACTTCTAGCTCGGTTCTTGCCAAATGAGTTTCAAATATTCTAGTTCCTTGGATTTGGATCACTCTAAAGCTTCTATTTTAAGATAGTAGTATCAAGGTTACAGGTGATATACCCAACTGATCATCAAATAAATATTACCGAAACACATGTCTATTTTTTGAAAAACATCTCTGTTGAAATCAAACTCTAGACTTGCTGCTTGGGGAGTAACAACTTAACCACTACTCTATGTTGCCTCATCTCTACAATTTATAAGTTTAGATACTGCAATAAATCTTAGAATAAAGAACTTGCAACTGATATTATAAACTTAATTCATATTAATATTAGCTTATTTAGATTGGACAATTATATTGATATATATGAGAGTTGATAATATCAAGATAGTTTTTATATATACTGAGTCTATTTTGTCTTAATAAAAGATTGATATTAATGAGAGTTGATATTAATGAACTTGATATTAATAGGAGTCAAGTATATTTGTAGATATATCAAAAATTTGCATATTTGTTAATATTCTTTTTAATGATTTTTTTTTTGACAGAATACAAATATAATATTATGGCAAATATTCATTTATACAAAAATAATATATATAAAAAAATACTTTTATTATAAATTTTAAAATATTACTAAAATATACCAATAGTATTTTATATTTATGTATATATTATTTCAAAAAGAGCAGTATCATTTATCATCAGATTTTTTTTTATCAGAGGCTTACCCTCTCCCTCTCTTACTATATATTTTGCTCAGGTCTTTATATATAATTTTAAATTTTTTACCCCCTCTTCCCCTAAAAAATTACCTGATTTTTGTCACGTCCCAAACTGGCTAATTAATTAATATGAGGTATTCTAAATAAAAATGTTTTATATTTTCAAAAACCCTTCCCAAACCCTAATTATAACTGCAAGTACTAACCTTAATTTGTATTATAAAAACTTGGAAAATTAATAAAAACATATAATAGATATAAACACCATATGTGCGTTTTATAATAATTGTAAATTTAGTACATATAGATATAATCTTATAAGTAATATATAGCAATTTTTAAGATTTAAATACTGTGCTATATATTTTAAATTTAAATACTATACCTAATACTATTTTAAATTTAATTTCAAGTATAAAACTTAATAACTAGAGCTCTAGTCACAAAATATTACCATTTTTCTAGTTTTAGATTTTAGACCTTTGGCTAATACTTGATTAGGGCCTTGTGCTCAACTTTAGTTTGATGAAAAATTAATTACGTCTTATGATCAATAATGGATCTATATATTGTAAAGAATTTTGATATTATAAAAACAAGATAAGGTTGCTTTTTTTTATATTTTATAACATCTATAGAACATAAATACCAAATAAATATTTGCATATTTGACAAAATTTTGGAATTTTTTTCAAAAAATTTTTATTACAAATACAAATTTATTTAATACAGTATCAACTCAAATATAGTATAGTATTATGGCTAAAATATCTAATAATAAAAAAGAAAGCAAATATTCAAATTCTTTTCAGAATACAACAATTAAAATATGAGTTTTTCTTAAAGGTCACTCAAGTTCTTATAAGTTGAAAGCTAACTTGTTACAAGTTTTTGGCTTAAAAGATTTTAAAAATATTTTTAAAGAAAATATTCAGATATTAAAAATATCAAACTGAATAATATTGTATTTTTAAACCATGATTATTACAATATACTTATTTTATTAGACACTTTTCTACAATCTCTGGCAGACAATATAATAGGTACAATGCTACTTATTGTATATTATTCAATATCAAATTTAAGCAGTAAGTATAAATATTTTTCTGCTTATATGAAAAACTATACTAACCAAGGCAACTCTCCCTAATAATCACTTAGACCAACTAGTACCGAAAGCAAGTTGAAGACTCAAGACTAGAAGTCAACAACAACTTGAAGTTTTCTCGATACAAACTGTTGTCAACAAAGTCTCTAAACGTGATATACCGAGGAGCAGGTGTTTTGAACAGTTTGCAAAGGGGTCAAGCCTTTTTCTTACTTCTTTAGATAGACTCCCTTTTGTATTCAGTATCCAAACCGGAGGAGTCTCTGGGAACAGCAAGTAAAAAAGAAAACTCAGAAAGTTTGGAGATAGAAAGATATGACGAACTCTTGAAAAAACTCTCTTTAGTTAAAAACTCACAAAACCACAACTTTCTTTGCTGCTTTAATGCTCCCAAAACCAATTTTTAACAAGAAGTGGGGGATTTGGCTACTCTTATCAAAAGATCAGCATTGTTTACCACTTTCATATTCAGCAACTCTGTGACATGAACACAACAAACACATGGCTACATAGGAAAATTGATTCCTTATTTAGAAACGTGGCCCTGCACATTGAAGATTTGAAAGGTTTTTAAGGACTTCCACACCAAATAGATGAGACGTGACAGCGAAAACACATGGAGTCGATTAAGTTTGTTATACTTTGAAATAGATTATAGATTTAAAGTTGGGGTAATAAAGAGATTTTGAGATATGTAGTCTTACGATAAAGTCATGTGCATATAATTTTTAGCTCTTAGCACAGGTTAAAGTGTATTTAGTTTAGCTTTTTTATATATGTCAGCTGAGTTCTATGTAATTACTACGATTGTGTAGATAAGTATTCTGGTTAGCAGGTACCAATTTGTTAGATAGGTTCTTTAGTTTAATTAGTACTTTAGATTCCTCTTGTTAGTTTATTCATTTTCGTATCTGTTTCTTTTCAAAATATCCTCCTTCTTGTAATTCCCCTTACCCTATTTGTGTTTCTTTTTTTGTTTTTTTTTTAGGGAATTTTTCTTCAGATTGGTGATATGTTATATAGGGCAGTGATCCTGACAAGATTGGTGAGCACCTACTGTAGACTCTCGGGGTATAAATTTTTAGAAAGTTGAAAATCCTAGACAAGGTAAAGATGAACCACTTAGGCAGGTGCATCTGAGTCTTCTTTGCAGAATTTCTGTTTAATAGATCAAGTGATTCTTTATTAGTACTGGCTTATATAGATTATAACGTAGTTAGCTGCTAAAACTATACAAATGTATAGTGTTGTATTCTATGTCTAAATAAATAATAAAGGAAGGATTGCTGAAAAAAAAAAAACTGTACTAACTGTACTATTTGATTTGCAATCTTAGTAAATTTTAGATTTTTGCATAATACCAGTAAATGCTAAATACTCTATTTTAGTGAGGCCTAATATTTGCTTCAAAAAAAGCCAAAAAACTATTTGATTCACTCATAATAGCTGATATTATTTTTATTATTAAAAAAACTCAAATAACAAAAATAACTCAGATAAAAAAATTGAGAACGAATATTCACTTATGAATTTATTGATTTGAACAAAACTAACAAATTAAATAAATGTGTTTTAGGCCTTAAAATATAAATAAAAGAGAAGAAGATATTTGAAGATTAGAATTTAAAAAAAGTAGACACTAAGATTTATAAGAGTACTTTTGATTCTATTAACTTAGTATCACAATTAAACTTGGAAGAATTTTCTGAATTAAATCTATCATTTAGTAAGAAGAAAATTAAATTTTTTATTAAACAATTTAAAAACAAGGTATTCACGTTTAATAATAAATTTAAAACTAATAAAACTTTAGTGCATAAATACTTATCAATTTTTATAACTATAGTGGTTTAATATATTCAAAAATATAAAGATCTGATAACAGAATTGAATATGAAGTCTAAACTTGATTGATCTTGAGGTTATAGCAATCTGGACTATGAAATTGTTATACAAGATATTCTAGTATTGATTAATAAGG